TACATACATACATACATACATACATACATACATACATACATACATACAGGTGAAACTAATATAAGCGTGTTAAAAATGGTAACAGACATAAAAAAAAACACATCATAGTAAAATTAATACCTTCTCAGTTTCGCATCGAAGCCAAAAATGGAATTTTTCCAATTAAAATGAAAAAGTTAATTTTTTTTTGCTACTAAAATAAGTTATTTTCGATAAAACTTTTTGTAGTAAATTTCTTAATCATTTCCTTAACCTAAAAGTGGGGATAGTCCACTATTTGATGTAAACTCTACCTTACAATGATTAAAAATTTTAACACAGACCTTGCCCAACCTCATTATAGCTGAGAGAAAGCCATAATTTGATTGCATAAATAAACGATTTTATGATTATTTTTTACGAAGTAAATTACTTAATAACCAAATTGTACCATACAACTTTTATCATAGTCATACATGAGATGGATTTGGGTGTATGGAGGTTTACTCACGCGGCTTTATAAGCCTTACAGAATTTTAGTACACCTGTGTTTTTGCTCTGGTTGTGCCACAACTCTTAGGGTTGATTAATCTTGACACTAAATTTTGTAGAATTTATCATTTTTATTTTGAAACAATATTGGGGGTAAAGATGTTAAATTTTGAAGTTCTGATTTTATTGCCACCTATGCTAAATACTAGCATTGTTAATACAATTATGTGACATCAATATTGAATATAAAATGTTGGATGACATTTAAATTGTTTTTTGAATGTTTCTCTGTATCTATATTTTTAAAAATTCAATATATTAAAAAATTCTCATAAAACCCGATTATAAATGATTATTACCATTAAAAAGCAATATTAAGAAATATTTATTTATATAATTATATAAATAGAGTTGTTTTAAAACTATGGCAGATATATATATCCGGTATTTATAAACATAAATATATATATAATATATTAAACAACAAATAAATTAACAAATATTTTGAATATATAGTTTACTTAACAAAATTAATTTATAACTACTATAAATAAAGATAGCTACAATATGGACTAGAAATTATTGTTATAAATTAAAAATTAAAACCCGTTGTATTTTTTAAGAATTAAAAATAATATTTATATCATACTTAAGTGCTTATATCATAATATTAATTTGATGGTAACATGAATAATAAGGCACATAAATTATTTTATTATCAATATTGTTAATTTTTAAACACTTTTCAGGGTATTGCTAACAAAATCATAAGTTGCAAAACTAATTCCAGTTGCTATAGGACCTTTAATCCAATTCATACTAAGTCCCTTGAAAAACCCTTGAATTATTCCTTCAGACCTGTAAAAATAAATAACTAAAAAATTATTATTGTTATATTTATATTATTTTTTCAGTAAATAAATAGAAACCCTATAAGAAAAATAGAGAAATTTAAACTATTTCATTAAAATTTTATAATACATAAGCTTAAAAATAAATTGATAGATGTTAATTCTAAACATTAATTAATTCAAATTAAAAAGTTACTAAATTAATTTTAATCAAATGTATCTTTCAGTTTTTGATACAATGAGACAGTAAAATATAAAATAATGTTTGAATAGTTATTTTAAATTTTGAACACAGTTGAACTCAAAAAATAAAATAGTTAATATTTAATAGCAAAACTATTAAAATTTAAATATTCATAAAAAATAATTTAAAAATAGGAAATATCTAAATTAATAATAACTTAAGTAACATTTTACTTATAAATTATCCAAATTGTTTTTCTAAGGTTTATGTAATAATTTCCAGTTATAATTGAAGTTTGCATTTTTCTTCGAATTATATCTAATGGATAGGAAGAAGATTGACCAGCCATACCAGCAACAGCACCACTTGCTAAATTGACAAATGTATTTTCATAGCCATGTTTATCTATAAATAAATAAAAACATACTTATATTGTTAATTATTAATAAAATTGGTGAAGAGATAATTTAATAATTTACCTTTAACAAATGATTTTAATGTACCATACGTAAAAAAACTTGTACCAGCATATGGAATTATGCCTAATATTGTAGGAACATATCCTCTATAAAAACCTTTTAAACCCTCTTCATGGTATGTTTTTTTAAATACCTGAGAATATCAATTATAAAAATAATTTATACATTAAATATAACTATTAAAAATTAAGATTTTTTTTTATTTTTTGACTTTTTAAAATATTTTATATTTTTATATCAATTTTATCTACTAAAATTCAAACATTTCATAAAACCTACTTTGGTTTTATAATTATTATTTTATCAGATTTATTTTTACAAGTATTAAAATAATTAAAGAAATGTTATTTACATTATACATTTTATGTACTGCGATAAATCATGTTATAAACATTATAACTACTCTCTTTAATTTATTTATTTGTAACTATGTTAAAAATTGACTGTTTTAGCATAAATAGTTTAGAAAAATATCCTCATTTTTGGCTTTCAAATAATGTCAACACCCTTAATTTTAAATTAAGTTGAATCATTATTTATGGTTAAATATTGTTATCTCAGATTTCAAGGAAATCAAAGCTTGTATTAATAGGTAAAATGGCAAAAAATAATGTTTATCTATTCTTTTATATGCAATAAAATACATTTATATTTATATTTTGTTAAAAGTGGTTTAACAGCTTTAATAATTATTTAAATAATCATTCATCAGATTTTCAAAATTTTACTGACTAAAACTTAATATACATCATAATAAATAAGAAAGTTAATTTTAAAATCAATTACATCTCCTAATGATTTATATTCATTTTTCGTAGTTACTGCCATACGAGCTCTTGCTAAATCAAGAGGATAAGTTAAAGTTTGTGATGTAACACCAGCCAAAGAACCAGAAAAAAACTTACGACTTCCATTATTTCTAAGAAAAGAAAAAACATTAATTTATTAATTTAAATAGTGTCTCTATCTTTATATGCATATATATAGAAACCCGTTTCCTGACTTACTGAACACCCTGTATAGTTTATTTAATAAAAAAAATAATATGGACCCTCTTATTAATAATTTAAATCATTCTTTGTAACAATAATTATAGTTGTAACTGTGCTGTATATGTTTAACATTTTTCATGAAAAAGTTTTATAAATCAACATTTTATGTAAGTAGTAATTTTCTTGATCCATGAAATATAAAACTTGTAACATTTTGTAATTTTTCAACTAAATATATAGTTGATGTATTTATAAGAAGATTTTCATTATATTTTAATAACCATTTCTTAGTTCTTTTCATGTTAAGTTAATTTGAAATATTAAAAGTTCTTTTTTTCTTTTTTATTTAATATTACTACAAAATGAGAGCTATGTTGTATATTTCTAATATTAATTTAATATGTTCTATATAATTTTACCATATAATTATTTATTAATAAAAAATAATTAAAAAAAAAATAAATAAATAACTTAGTAGAGAAATATAGATTTTCTAACAATGAAATATATCTCATTATATAACTAAATTTATTTTTATTTAAATAAATTATTAATTAAATTAAATAAATTATTTCACTATGTTATAAATTATTGTTATTTAGACTTTTTTCATGTTTTCTAATAATTTCAGACAATTTTCAGGTTTTAGGTCATCAACTTTCAAATAGTATAATTTATGATAAAACAGGAACACCCTATGGTATAACCTAATTTAACTTTGTTTTTTAAATAAAAAAAACAGCTACTATTTAATAATTTAGACTTTCATATCCTGATAAGTGATCTTTAGTTTTATTGGAGTGTTATTCTATGCTATGTAATACATTACGCTGTTATAAATTTTAATGTATTAACTTTGTGGTCAGAGAATCAACTTGTAAAACTTTGCGCCACTGTTCAAAAGCAGTAAATTGGATTGCAGCATAGGGAATAATTCTGGTCATAGTAGCTGTATTTCCTCGCCAAAGGGAAAAAAATCCATTGTTAGTATATGTATCTGATAAAAATTTAAATGCTGCTTTAGCAGAATATGGAGCATTTGATATCTAAAAATGAAAAAACATAAAATTAATAATAGAAGCTAAATAGATAAATGTGTTACAACTCAAGTCTGAGTCTAACTAAAGTACAAATTGAACCAGCAATTTTTTTCATAGTTAGAGTAAATTAGACATACAAAATTATCTAGAGTATAGAAATAAATTAAATATCTATTTATGTAGTCTTGTTTACTTTATTATTTAAATAAATATTGACAATTAATGTTAGATAACGATTATCAATACAATCAGATTGTTAGGGTTAATTTAGAAATATTATTTTGTTATATGTTTGTATACAATATGATAATGAAACAATTAAACGGTAATGCAAGATATTCTATTATTTTATATTATGAATAAAATTAACTCTGATCTATTTGTTCTATTCTTTAACAAGGAACAGTTAACTATAAAAAATAATTTTTATTTTAATAATATACAATGCTAGAGAAATAGTGCCTATATAATATTCCAACATTATATTGTCAAGTTGCATTTGTTATAAAATATATTATATGATTAAGACAACATCATAATAAGATTTCAAATATTAAGACAGGAGCATAATAAACTTATTATTTATCTTTAGAAAGTCAAATTGCAAACATGAATTGGACAAATTTCCTATAAATAAATTTATGTGTCTTAAAAAAAATTTCCCATATAACACCACAGTTAAAAAAATTGTATTTAAAACAACCTATTATTAAATTGAAAATCTAGCTAAAACAACATGCTAATACCACTTATTTAAAAATTAATTTTTTGATAAAATATTAAATGGCAGAAATTATATTACATAAAAATACAATATACAGATTTGTTCTATAATTTTCTATAAAATTGGAAAATAAGCTAGTACTTTTTTGTTTTATTTGTATATTAATTTTTTTTGCTTAGTCTAAAAAATTTTTTATAAGTGAATTTAACCTATTTTTGTAATAAGCCTTTCTATTATGGTAAACTATGTTTTATTAAGCACAAAAATTATACTCAATATTAAGCAACAAAAAATATTATTATACCAGTATTTTAATTTATATTATTACAAATAAATATGATGAAAACAAAATTACTAACTTGAAAATTTATTTTTGTTCTATCTAAAGGTGCTATAGTACTTTTTGCTAAAGCTCCAGCAACAGCTCCAGATATCAAACTATGTATCACTAGAATAGTGTTATTTGATTGATTCTAAATTGGTTGTATGAAAAATTAAAAAATATTTGTAATTTAAATAAAAGCTATCATTACCTTTTTATTGTTTGCCATCATAAAGCCCAATGTGGCTGAAAGTTGTTCTTATATCTCATTATTTCTATCATATTTAATATGTAAATAAATTTGAATTTTTGGCAATAACTACTAATGTCCTTGATCTAGAAATAAAATAAGTAACTTTGAGAAACAATTCTATTTGTAAATGAGTAAGTTAATAAATTATATTTAAAACCAGGTATAATCAAAAACTAATTTGAAATAGATAAGATCACTACGTTGTTATAAATAAATTAAAAGATTATGTAGAAAAATAAAAATTATACAATTATCATCTCAGTATAATACTCGGTACAAACAAAAAATTATATTATACATTCATACTCACAGTATTTACTAAAACAACAATGAACCATTAACCATAAGAAATATTTTCCTTCTGATCAAACCTTGTAATATCAATAGTCATTTAGCAATTTCTTGTTTATTAAACAAAGTGATATCGTGACAACTGATAAGGAATACCTGGACATCCCCTCTCATTAATATTTCAAGGTTGTAGCACAGACTACATAAAAGTATTGTTTTAATAAAAATTGATCAATAAGGATAAGACTCAGTTTCCTAGAAGCTATTGAACATTTTTTAATTCAAAAAACTACTATAATTTGAAGTTTGATCATTTTTTTATCAGGGGTTTAAGAAAAATAGGAAAAAGTTTTCAACTAATTTTGTTTTTATAGTACTTATAAGAATAACGTTTTTTGTTATTGCTTGTCAATGCTTAGCATTTTTCGACCAATTTTCTTTTGATAATTTGCTGTATAGCATTCAGTAGTCGTATTTTCTTCATGCTACTACATAAATAAGTTTGACTGACAATTCTTGATATCACATCTATCACTTTCGATAGTAAGAATAAATATTGATAGTAATTTATTTAACAAGATTATTGTTGTCTCCAGTGTTATGAAAATCAAATTAAAAATGAATTTTTTTTTAAACCCAAATATTATTTTATTGTGGTATTGTATTTTCCTGTTTGATAGGTTACAAACAGACACATCGTCTTTCTCTAGTTGGCATTATTAAATTCAATTGAATAGGTTGTATGTAATTTCTGTTGGCTACGAATAAACGTAGACAATACTTGGACAATCACATTGTATCAAACAAATCAAGATTCCGTCGATTGATTAGAAAATTTGAAGAAAGTTGTTCTACATAAAACAACAAAATCCTTAGACCCCCTCGACGTGGCCGAAGGGAGGTGTTTGGCCGCCGATCAAATGCAGCGCCACTTGCGCACCGCCTTAATAGGGTGCTCATATGTTAACATATGAAGAATTCACCACCGTCATTTGCCGAATAGAAAGTGTTCTGAATTCTCGGCCTCTTATCCCCAGTTCCACTGATCCGCATGATTTTGATTGCCTCGCATCAGGGCACTTTCTTGTAGTACAACCGTTACTTGCTGTTCCGCCGCGTACTGAGCTCGACACACCACGTTCTCTAATTGACCGTTGGAAATTGTTGGACAATTGTCATCAGGCCTTCTGGCACAGGTGGTCATCGAAATATTTGTCAACTTTACAACAAATGGTTAACTGATCAACTAAACGTTTGCGTCGGTGACATGGTCATTATTAAGAATACCTCGTGTCCCTCATTGATGTGGCGTACAGGTCGAATAACGGCATTAACGCCAGGATCTTGGAAAATTGTGCGTGTAGTGCGCGTTCAAACTGAGTACACTTATGCGCCCTATTGTGAAATTAGTAGTCTTCTGATTTTAGTAGATGCTGAAGATTCCATCCATCCTTAAATTTTTAATTAATGTTCTAATATTATAAAAGGGATGAGTCACATTTGATTCATTTATTTTTATACTTTCATATCTTACTTTATGATGTCGTTATTTCTAATTATTAATTTTTACTAAAGAAAAAAATTATCTTATATACTTCCACGTTATCTGCTAACAGTGTTAGGTTGCCTACTTTAGCCCATTGGCGCAGGGAATCCACTATCTAGTCATTAAAATATCGTCTTTTTTTTACGTCAATGGTTGGTAAGATTATTGTAAAAATTGTATTTATGTGCTGACCAACCGCAATATTATTAAACAATTTTTGTTCTTAATTATTTTTTATATATCATTCATGTATTTATGTTGGCACTTGATATGTGGATGCAATTTAGTTAAGTTATATTGTATATACCATGTTGTGTTTTAAAACTTTTTGTATGGTTTTTATCTCAACCTGTCACTTATGGTTTACAAATGCAACCGAGAAGTCATCGTCGGACGTGTACCATTTGTGAGACATTTTTCTTCAACACGATATCTCCCACAGGAGGAGGATGTTTGGCCGCCGATCAAATGCAACGCCACTTGCGCACCACCTATTAACACAATATAAATTGTCACACGTGTGTACGTCGAGCGAGTCTGGCGCAAATACATGAACGATTTTTTAAGAAATTTAACTTAAGGTAAGCAAATTATTGTATATTTATAATTTATATGAACTATATTTCAGCGATTTTTTTTTAATAATTTTTTCCCTCCCTTTTTGCATTTATTTATGTATGGCCGATATTCTCCCGGAGTAGGGGGAATATCGGTCATTTGCATTAAAAAACGAAATATATTTTATATATATATATATGTGATTATGTCTTAAAAATCCCCCTATAAAGGGAAATGGTCCGATTTAAAAAAAATTATGTCGCATAAAAGAAGTATATAAATAAAACTTAAAAAAAAATTGTGAAGAACCAAACATTTTTCAAAAAGTTATAGAAATATAAAGTGAAAAATATGAATTCTAGAATTTTTACACAAAAATATCATACGGTAGCCATTTTCACCATAAAGACAAAATAAAGTCCGAAATTTTTTTTTTCATAATAAAGTATGTTACATTAGCTTTAATTTAAGATATATAGAAGTTTCAGAATTTCCGGAACACTTTCAAAAGTTAATTTTTTGTAAAAAAGTCGTCATTTTAAATCCTCCCCGTGGGCAAGTAAAGGGTCGGATATATAAAAAAAATATACAAAATGTATCCATAAAAAAAAATTGTATTGACCCATACATTTTCTAGAATTTAGAATTCTAAAACAGTTTCTAGAATTCAATCCTACAAGGTGTTGAGTTTTACTACACAAAATAACTATAACAACCAAAATTTGGCAAATACATATTATTATCTCTGCCACACTCATTCTCTGCTCTAATTTCTTGTCAGCATTCTGACTCTTACAATAGTCAATACAGTTAATCTCACTACAGTCATAAAATTTAACTTTTGAACTCATTGAAATTCCCTTATCTCAAAATTTTGTTTTTCATATTTTTAATATTTTTTAGTTTTAAATTAATGATATTTAAAAAAAAAAAAAATGAATTTTATATAAAATTTACGTTCATTAGTTTTTAAATTATTATCATAAATAACAAAAATGAATGTATTCATGGGAAAAATAACCAATTTTTTTTTTAAATATATCAGTTTATATCAGTAAGTATATCAGTTATATAAAAAATCAAGATTGGAATAATTGTGAATGACGTTATCAATAATCGTAATTATAATATAATTAAACATAAAACGAAAACTTTTTTTAAATCCTTACCAAAAATGACTAACAGTTCATAAAGTACCCCTATATTACAAAAAGAAACTTTAACAGGAATGTAATCAGAACTTCATCTAAGGATGACTAATTTTTTTTACCACGATAGATAGCCTTGGGGTCATTCTTTTAGTAAAAAGGTGATAATTTTTAAAATATCTCCCGAGATATAGATAATGCCAGTTTGAGGGGTGGTCATCTCTGTTGTCTCTTATTAAAATTCACTCTTGAAATCTACTTTCAATTTAATAATATTAGGAAGGAAGATATTGGTTAAATAAATAAAACAGTAAAATCTCATTTAAATACGATTTGAAAGATAATTCACCAAATATTTTTACATTAAATAAATAATTACTAATCGTTATCGATTTACGGTTGTGTACACGCAAATGTATATTTTTTTACAATGAATTAACGTCATTGATGTTTTTAAAGAAATAATTAATATATCATATAAAAATATCAATAATGCTTAAGCCAATAAACTTTTTATCAATTAGGTAATAAATATAGTCTCATATTAACGATGAATTAACGTGTTATTTATTTGATGATAAATTATTATTAATTTGTTAGCTTTGGCTAATAAACTTAATAGTAGTAATAACTTATTAAAAAAAAAAAAGTTGTAAAAGGTTTATTAACACAAAGCCTAATACAACAGTTTATTTATAGTTAAAATAAACAACTTAAATATTTCATATCATATTTTGAGAAGGAAAATAGAATAACTGTTTTATTTTCCTCCTTCAGAGTAATTTAGTCTTAATACTAGAGTAGTAAATAACTATTGTAGCAGGTACATAACAGAAAATTAAGTTTATGTTTCGTCATTTTTTAAATATCGCTTTTCTATATATATATACATTTAAATCATCGAGTCCTACAGAAAACATGGAAAGGAGAACTTGTTTATTTTCTCCTAGATTAACAATATTTCAAGGGCGAACTTCAATTAAAATAGTGGGGAATATTAATAATTATCACATTTAATTTTTGTATGTTTTTAAACATTCAATGTACCTACTTTATGTATTTAATGAGACTTTAAAATTGTCCACGTTAAAATACTCAAATATTAGCTATTAGTAATTATAAAAAGTTCTCATATTATTCTTGATTATAATTATAACAAAAAACTATAATACTTTAATTACAATATTCAATAAAAACAGCTGAGGTCAAATTGATGTAATTGACACGTTACTTTATCAAGTATTCTCTGATAACTATAATCTCTTATGTGCTTTAATGCTATTCTCACTTGGATGTGTTTTTACTTTTAAGAATATAAATAGTTATTTTTGAAAGTATATATCTGTCTGTACTAGTATTTTTTGTTGATTGATTTCTATTGATATTAAGTTATGTGTTAGTAGTATTATTATTTTAAGTCTAATATTTATTAGGTAAAATGTCTCGTAAGTAAATGAACGAATATATTAAGAAAATAAGTTGTGATATATTTTTAGTTGCATCATGAAATAATTTCAATGAAAATAAATTGGATAATTAAAAACATATTAAAACTTAATTTGGTCGTTATAAAAATTGCTTAGTAAATTTATAGAAGCAGTCACTGCTTAATAAATTTATTAAATAATTTCTTATTTAAAGCTTATTTAAAGATTTATCATTAAATTTATTGAATATTAATCAACATTTCTAGTCTTATGAAATAATGATATTTTTTTCGGGTTATTTAGATGCATGAAATCTATATGTTAAGACTATTATTGTTGCTAACCACGAGAATACCAATTGTATAGATAATTTTTTTTTCTTGTTGCTTTAATAAGTGCAAAAAACTAAGGGGTGCTAATTAATAACTTCCCCATTTATATGCCTGTGTCTAAACCTGGAGCATATAAATTCCTTCCCTTTTACTACCCTCTCAAAATGGTAATGTATCTGAGTAACTATAGTAGTAGATCTTATCAATTTTAAATGCATAAAGCCATATTTCAACCAAGGCAAACTAGGCAGCTGCCTAGTTTTAATTTATATGCATTGATTCTTATATTTTTTTTAAAAATTAGAAAATTCAAATTTTTTCTATTATAAGTAGAATTTAACTAGAGTATAAATAAAAAGTTTAAATTAAAATTATTAATTAAATAATTAAACATAATTAAATTTCTTATAAAATTTATAAATTAAAAAAAAATGTTTTATTATGTATACTTGTCCTTTTTTCTAAGGTTATCATAAAATAAAAATTGACAACTTGTATTTTTTTTTTTTTAATGAATTCATAGAGGAAAAGAAATAGGAAGAATGTTAAGTGATAACTACATTTCAATGACAAATGGGTCAGCCATTAAAAATAATATTTTAGATAGATTAATTTGGCTATCGTTTATTGATTGTGAGACAAAATGTTTTTTTAATTTCTTTCAATTAACACCAGTAGTATGAAGTAATATCCTAAAATGTAGGAGGTCAAAATCTAATAAGCTTTAAAAAATTCATCATTTATTAAAAATAAAATGTATAAAAAATAAATTCTTTAAATTGAATATAAAGTTTAAATGGTTAGTATTATAAGACATTTGCCTAGTTTTATAGCTTATCAATTCTGTATTTATATTTTTGGTGTCCAAGAAATAATTATTACCTTGTATCTATGCTTATTCAACTTCTTACAAAAACTCTGAATACAACTATATAATATTTATATTTCCTTATAATACCGATGAATTCCTTTTCATTATAAATATTTTATTTATTGAAATGACACCTGATGTATAATTGATTTATCATTTTAATTTTTCAGATATATTTGATAAAATTAAGAAAACCCTAATTATAAACAACAAATCATACTCATACTTCAACCTACCAGAATTTGGTACAGAATATAGTAAGTATTATTCATATGTAAAAATTGTTGATAAGTTTAAATCATAGAAATACCTTTGTTAATAGACAATTCTTAAAAATGGGATTATTTTCAGTAACAGAATTATTTGAAATACTTTTTATAAGTACCAATATTAATAAAAATACACCTTAATAGACATTATAAATACTATTTAAAACAGTATTTAGATTAATTTTGATTGTTTGATTGGACTTTAAAAAATATTTATTAATAACAAAAAAATTGGAGGGGTACAGGAATAGGACCATAAAAGTCCATTTTTTCAATATTGATTTATAGTTTGTTTTAATAGTCAATTAACAGTTTTATCAAGAAATAAAATCCACGTGGTGAATATTTTTCACTTTGCTAGCATTAAAGTCTATTTTTATTTTTTTATCTATGGAGTGCAAATGTATAACTTAATTTTTTTCTATTATTATAAAAATTATAACACATTAAATTCAAGACATCCTCGCATGCTCACGACTATAGGGAATTTTCATTGCTTCGAGCTCGATTTAAATACGAATCTAAAAAATGTTTATATAGATATGTTGAATGTATAAAATCGTCTTTAAATAGTAACCATGCTAAGTACTGAAAGTTCATTAAAAACAAAAGATCTTTTAATGCAATTCCTAAGAAGGTTTCCTACAGAAAAACTACCTCTACTAACATGAGCAGGAAGCGGCCAATTTGTTTTCTATGCAATTCTTTTCTGTTTTCTCCGTTAATCAACTTAATCTTGATACTTCTTCGTTAGATATCAAGTCCTTTGATTTACCTAATAATGTTAACTTTACTGTTGAATATGTTTATAAACACTTATCTGACTTGCATGGTAACTGGTCCATTGGACCTGGTGGTTTATCTGGTGAGTATTTATATCAATTAAAAAATATTATATCTTTCCCCCTCTGGACTCTTTTTAAAAGTTCACTTGAAGAAGGAATCTTTCCTTTTATATTAAAATTCAGCTCAGTTACCCCCGTACACAAGTCCAGTGAACTGTCCAATGTGTCAAACTATCGTCCAATTTCAATCCAGTCACACATTTCCAAAATTTTTGAAGTGTTGGTCTTGCATTGTATCCAACCTTAGATCAATAAAATTCTTATGGAGGAACAGCATGGCTTTTGCCCTGGTCGTTCCACCATTACCTGTAATTTAGTCTTTAACAACTATTTATACCAATATTTTAATTTGAAAAGACAGGTAGATACCATTTACACGGATTTCAACAAGGCATTTGATTCAGTTAATCACAATGTCCTAATCCAGGTCCTTAACTTATCTGGAATCAGTGAACCTCTCCTGTCCTGGTTTCCTTCTTACTTATCTTGCCGTTACCAATGGGTCAAATTGCTTGGAGTAAAATCTAATGACTATCCTGCTACGTCCGGTGTTCCTCAAGGAGGTCACTTATCTCCGCTCCTGTTTTTTCTATTCATTAACATTGTATCAAGTGTACTTTCCAATAGCCAGATTTTATGTTTTACAGATGATATTAAGCTCTACTCTCGTATATCCTCCTTAGATGACTGTATTCTATTACAGTGTTTTTTATCGGTTTACGGAATGGTTTAATTTACTAGGGTTATCCCTTAATACATCTAAATGTAAGACCATGACTTTTGCCAAGATTCAGTCACCTGTCAAATATGTTTATCATCTAAGATCTAATAAGATTTTATGTTCTAATGACTTTGTAACTGATCTAGGATTTATTCTTAGTAGTGATCTTGATCCTAGACCCCACATTGAGCATATTTGTTGTAAGGCCTTTAAAAATCTGGGGTTTGTGTTAAGATTATGTAGGGATTTTCGGTTAGGTCTATCATACAAAGTGCTTTATTGTGCACTTGTTTGCCCTATTGTTGAGTATGGTGCCGTAATTTGGGATCTGCATGAGCTCAATGACTCTCTTAGACTTAAAAGGGTTCAGCGCAATTTTATGAGATATGATAGCTTTAGATTGAATATCCTTTGTGAACCCCACAACTATGGACCAGTTGTTTCTCAACTAGGGCTGGTTTCTCTGGCTGAGCGTAGACGGATCTCGGATATTAAGTTCCTAAATAGTTTATTACAAGGTAATATTGATTCTCCCTATTTGCTTTCTTTAATTTGTTTTAAAGTTTTTCAACATCATTCCTGATCTGTTGCTCTTTTTTATGTTCCTTTCGCCTCTACTAATTACCTTAAAAATGAGTCTATTACACGTATGATGTCAAATGCCAACGTTGACCCTTCATTTCTTCTTTGCCTATAATTAACTGAATAGCTGTTAATTTATTATTTATCATATTTGTACAATTAATGTATAACTGATATGTATAATGTGTAAATATGTTCAAAGGGTTTATCCCGTATATTTAATAAAAATAAAATAAAATAAAATTATAGAAATGGACTATCATTGTTTGTACTTTGTATTCTTCACTTACTTACTTTATTTGTAATTCATTTATTTTATTACATAATGTTGAAACTTGTTATCATCATATTATTCTTATAAATAAAATTTCATTTTTACAATTAAAAATTATATCTGTGAAAATTTATTAGTTATTCTTCAATGATAAAACCATTCCTATTTAGGTGCTTTACAGTATGTTTAACTTTTTTATTTGTTAAAAATATAATTTTTATATATCATTATTTAATATAACTAGTTATTCAAAGTAATAACTTAACTATAATTAATCCCATATATTGTAACTATCATATTATATTTATTCTTTCAATTTTTATTTTAGATCAATTACCATTTTCTGTAAGGGTTCTTTTAGAGTCAGCTGTCCGAAACTGTGATAATTTCCAAGTCACAGAAGAAGATGTTCAAAAAATTTTGCAATGGAAAACAAATCAAACTGTTAATGGAGGTGTTGAAGTTGCATTTAAACCAGCTAGGGTTATTTTACAGGTAACTTTATTAAATAATGCAAATCAAAATAATTTGAAATTTATAATTGTGTCTAGGATTTTACCGGTGTACCTGCAGTTGTAGATTTTGCTGCTATGAGAGATGCTGTTAAAAATTTAGGCGGCGATCCCAATAAAATTAATCCCATTTGTCCTTCTGATTTAGTTATTGATCATTCTATTCAAGCCGATTTCGTCCGAGAGTAATTGTCTTAATTTTACTAATATTAAATATGCAAAGTCGTAACTATAAAATTTTTTTTGGAAGATTTTCAAATCTTAATTGATTGTTAGTTAAGTTAAATAATTTAGATATAAATATGAAATAATTATAGCATATTTAAATTAAATTTTAAAATAATAAAATAAAATGATTTGTTTCATTTTTACAAAATTTCTTTAGCAAGCTAAATACGACTTTGCATTAAAGATTAATTTAAAATCTATATGTTATTTTTCTTTAGATCTGATGCTCAACAAAAAAATGAAAATCTTGAGTTTGAACGCAACAAGGAAAGATTTACCTTTTTAAAAGCGAGTATTTTTTTGAAAAAAATATTATTTTAATAAAATAATCCAACTTAATAAAAATTATTTGCTCCTACATTGCATTGCCTAAGTGTTGAATACTTCATTGATTCTTAACAAAATTAATTGTTTTACTATTATTAATTTATCATGTTATATAATTTACTAAAAGTATTTTTTTTATTGTATTATTGTATTATTTTAGTACCTTTAAATTACTTCTAAGTAGTCTACTTTATAGACGACTTACTCTACAATTTGTCTCTTAAATACCATACAACTCAAATTTTTCAACATATGCTAGGCGATTCCTTCACTTTACCTCATAGAATTAAATTTTTAACAATTCTATCTACAAAAATATTATGTAAAATAAAATTAAAATTCGATTTTTTTTAGTGGGGTGCAAAAGCTTTTAAGAATATGCTCATTGTACCACCTGGATCTGGTATTGTACATCAAGTCAATTTAGAGTATTTGGCTCGTGTTGTCTTCACAGATTGTGATGTTTTATACCCAGATTCTTTAGTTGGCACCGATTCTCATACTACTATGATTAATGGTTTAGGAGTTCTTGGATGGGGAGTCGGAGGTAAAATATTACAATATAGAAAACTAGTATTTTGATTTATACAATGTATATGATAAAATAAAATATTTTTATAAATGAATATGTATTTAAAGATAAAAAGATCAATACAAATCAATTGATATGTTTGCAATAAATTTACGTTAGTTAAAATAATATTAACTATGTGATGTATTAGGTATTGAAGCTGAAGCTGTTATGTTAGGCCAAGCTATATCAATGTTGCTTCCACAAGTACTTGGTTATAAATTAACAGGAACTCTTAATCAATTTGCTACTTCTACTGATTTAGTTCTTACTATTACTAAGGTATATTATTTTATTGAATAATAAAATTATTTAATATATTAAGAAATATTAAAATTATAAACATTTTTTCTTAACGTGTTTTTAATTTTAGCATTTGAGGCAAATTGGTGTGGTTGGAAAATTTGTTGAATTTTTTGGTCCTGGAGTTGCACAATTATCAATTGCTGATCGAGCAACTATTAGTAACATGTGTCCAGAATATGGGGCAACAGTTGGTTTTTTTCCTGTTGATCAAAATACTCTTTCTTACCTACAGCAAACAAGTATATCAACTTTATTATTCATAGCATTTATTAAATTTAAACAAAATATTTTAAAATTTTACATATAATGACATTAGCTTTTGAATTTATCCAACTAAGTATCCAAGTATTTATCCAACTACTATTAAGTATTTATGTAAAATATTTTTAACTAAGATTTTTAAATGTAGAATGATCACATGAGACCAGAACTATTCTAGTCCGATATGATTATTCTACATATTTATATAATAGCATATTACTAAAGTTATTTAATTTTTAAGCAGTAAAACTTGCTATAGGCATATTTCTGTATTAAGGATATTTAATAAGTATTATTATTTATACTATTACCAATAAAAGTTTAAAATGGTGTTTTTCTTTTTACATGATTTTGTATTTAAATTAATGATTTTTTAGTTTTCATGAAACATTCATGTTCTTATGATCTAGTGTTATATAAAAATATAATAAAAGATACTTCAGACCTTCATTTAATTTTGTGTATAATTCTAAAGGATAATTTTGACCTTAAAAATCACCCTTTATTGATGCATTTAATTTTATTATTTACTTATTCTTTATTTAGTTAACATAACTTATAATTAAATGATTATCCCAAAAGTTATAGCACACATTTCACCTTAAATAAAATATTCCAAAGAATAGATGATATGATGATTTATCAGTTATTCTATAAATGCATAGTTTAATAGTTTTTAATTATAATTAAATATAAAATAATAATAATAATAATAAATTATTATTTATAATTTAACAATAGACCGAAGTCATGAGAAGATAGCTGCTGTAAAGGCTTACTTGGAAGCTACTAAAATGTTAAGAAACTATGATGATCCAAATCAAGATCCTGTATTTAGCCAAATAGCAAATTTAGATTTAGGAGATGTTGTTCCATCTATTAGTGGTCCTAAGAGACCTCATGACAGAGTGTCTGTATCAGAAGCAAAACAAGATTTTCTTAGTTGTCTCACCAACAAGGTAATTTTTTTTAATTATTATTTAAAACCCCTTTATAATATATAAAAAAAAAAATACCTAAATCATATTTAAGGTTTTTTGTTTATGTACAAATGATTAAAAAAGAAATATTTTAGACATGTAATTTTTAGTTAATAAAATAAATTGTTTTTTAATTTGTTTCAAATACACATTAAAGCATTTTACAACAGTGATGTAAAATATTTTAATGCTTTTTTTTATGGTAGCAAACCTTTAAAAATTACATGATTTTTGACTTAAAAGACAAATTACTTAAAGAGAATAAGTCACCAGAATATTTATTAATTATATATCACAATATACAAGCCTTAACTTGAGAAAATTTCAGATTTTCTTCATTTTTAACTCATTGTATTAGCTATAATTTAATGTAGGTGTTTTAAAATATTCTCAAAAATTGAAAAGAAAAATATTTTAATATGATTTTTAAGTCTCCACAGTGCCTTGGTTAATAATTGAATTTTCAAAAAAAGCATGTCTTTTGCTTACAAATGTTTGTAGTATTATCAATTAAAATTTGCCCATAATCTATCTAGTTTTTAAAAAGTTATTTTAATATAAAGTGAATACTAAAAATATAAACATTGATTGTTTTATAACAGTTGTAATTTTTTGGGGCACTTTTCTTTATTACATGGACTGAAGGAAATTTTTAAAATTATATTGTTGATAACTTCAACATAATGAGTTTTGAGATCTTTTGATGTATCATTGAGCAAAATCGGTCCAACAGAAACTGAAATCATTGCTGTATACAGAAATAAAAAATAAAACAAAGCAAAGTAAAACTGATAACTTTTTATCTACTCATCAAAGCTAAAATATTTAAAAAAATTCAATATTATTGTTAGTTTATTCAAAAAATAAACTAATGAATTATACTTATGCTACTGAACATTCTTTTTAAAATTTATTTTCCTTATCTAATTAGCTAAATAACCATTGGGTATGGTATACAATAACAATCATTTACAAGGCATAAAATATTTATGCATTGTGTTCATTGACCAACATTGATTACTGGTCCAATTTTCCACTTTGATCACACCATACGTACTAGTAATTGTCAATAAGAATAATTCAAGTTTTATTTCATGAATAAAATAAAAAAAAACGGTAGCACAGTGGGGTCGAGGCACAGTGTGGACGAGGCATAGATGGGACAAGTATAGATGATATCTGACAGTGATTAAAATCACTATCATAAGAAACGCTTCGATGCAAATCTGTAGATAGTGTTTCCTTTAGAGAAATTGGTGAAATATTTTAAAAGCAACATGAACTCTTATTTCTTTAATTATATCCTGATTAGTAGTTCTTTGATTTTAAAATATAATATATGAATAAATACTAATTATAGTTTTTAAATTTAGTATGAAATTGTG